TGACTTCAAAATGAATGCAAAGTCAAACAAGGCTTGTTATTCCCCTAAAAATCTTTACTGTAACAGAAGCCAATACCCAGATGTTCTGTGGTTAAATCTGTTGCTTCATTGCATAAAAGTACCACATACAGTGAAACACATTACTGGCTCTCCTTTATCCAAACCTGGTCAGATTTTTGGATTGTTTTTCTAGCAATCTTTTAAACTGACATGAGAGGCATAAAAGGTGGTCTCTTGCAGATCTGTATGATGCCATCTTGAAGTGTAACCACTTGCAGAAATGAACTGGGATTTCGTTTAGTAAACTGTTTTAAGGTCCTTTCAAAACAAAGTACAGAAGAAAAAGCATAGCTCTGAGTGTAATAAATTTAATTCAAATTAAACAAACAAAAAAGACTAAGGACATAGTGGGTGACAGATTGAGCTTAAACACACCACTCTGACTTTACAATTTTGGAGCTTGAACCTGAAAGCTTTAGGCATCCTCTACTTCTACTGCCCTAAATGGGAGTTGCTACTCAGCACCTTGCAGGATTAGACCTTTTAGTAAATTAATACTGGGAGATCTGACTCGGTCTAATCCTGAACCTCCAATGGAGTTGATATGAGAATCAGAAGCATCTTGTAAAACACTGAAAATAGGACAGATAGTCCCATAATTGAAGATCCCAGCATAAAACTATCAGCCGAATATCGAATACATGGTGGATAATGCATCTAAACTTAATTGGCGACATAGCGCAGGCACTACATGATTTTAAACAGCTTGCTTGACTTTTTGCAACCTAAATGTTGTGCAAACCTAAATATTGTTCCATATTCAGATAATGTTTTCCAAAGCAGTCACCCAAAACTAAATAGTCACACACGACTAACTATGGAACTCTTCCTGATATTGGTGAACAGCCCTACTAATTTCAACGCAACTACTCGCATGAGTAACTGCTCCACAACATAGATGCTGTTCAACCCTGGACCATGTAACTTTTCTGTTCTCAATTAAATTGTGCTTATTATCATTGTGCTAAGCTTCCAAAAGAAAGAAAGTTTGTTGGAGCATTATGTAGCATGAGGTATATTTCCATGAAATGAAAAACATGTCATACACATGCTGTTGGCTCTGACATGTCACGTATGCCATGAAATGTCACTGCTAATTTGGTATAAGATTGATACAGTTTAGATAGCATGTAGCAGTCTATACACAGATGTGTGACATATCTTCACTTCATTTACATACATATGACAAAGAGCTGAATTCCCCACCCTAAAATTAGAGAAACAATTTTTATTTTGCTGTGAGCTCTACCATTTAGTTCTCATCTTGGAAATATGACATGCCTAAAGATGACACTAAAAACCCCCCAACCAAACAACAACAACAAAACCCAACACATTTCTGACACATTTTAGAGTTTATTCAAGTTGAGACGTACTTGTCATCTTTTGACATATCAGAATGTAGGTCTAAGAAACGTTGTTACAGTTCCCCTTTAAATAGCATAAAATGTAGAAGCAAGATTGTGCATATATTCTGTAGTGTCAAGTTCTGTTTAAGGACAAGGTCAAAACTGTAGGAGAAAGAGGAGGCAACATCAGTCAAAAATCCCTCCACCCTCAAATATTAACAAATTCTTGACAATGTTCCAAATACATAAAAAGGGCTTTTTCAGTGGTACTGTGAGCTTGACCTCAGCAGATCTATTTCTGCAGGTACATATCTCCTGAGTAAATATGAGAAAGGCATGGGGAGCACAAGTTATTCCTGACAAGAATCAATTGAAACTTGCCATTCTTAAAATAGGTAAGGTGCAGCAATTGGGAGTGGATAGAATGGGAGCATGGGGCTTAAAGTGGATCTGGAAATCTCTAATTCCACATGCTGATAGCATTCATCACCACAGATCTAAGTGCTATTTTATGCAAGGTAGAGTATGACTAAATTAGCATTACCTGTCAGCGGCTGATATAATAGCTCAATATTAGCCTACTACTAGATATCTTGTATCTGATTCACTGTGACAGGACACCAGTGTTACCCAGATATAACTATTGATTTAAATTTCATCAGATTTAAAAATCAGCAGAATTACACTCGTGTAAAACTGGAGTAACCACTGCCTTACACGGGCCTTGGCATAGATCCCAGGATTGAGAACGGATTCTACATTTGAGTCATAAAACCTTGTCTGTTATCGACTGACAAACAAACAGAATATATTCACTGTTAGGGCCCCTGTCGTCTTCTAGTTTTTGTCCAGCAAACTAATAGACATCAATAAAAAAAAGCAATTATAATGATATAATTCTGTGAGTCTGGGGAAGAAGACACTCTTCCCCACTCTTTGGTTGGGGAAGAAGGCACTGAAAACTGCACCAGCAGGTTCCTGAAACCAATAATTAAAGAAACTACCTTATCCCTAGAGTGACCCGCTGTGGCTATTTCTAATGCAGCATTCTGTCATTATGACACTGGCAAAGATATTACATTTATCCATAACAATAAGCGAACCAGCTTTCGGGGAAAGCACGATGCTTTACCACTTGAATGTTAAAAAGGTCCAGAACAAATAAACTTGTGGAACTGGCTTTTTTAGATTAGGGACACCCTTCAATTAAATACTTTTTAAAAGGGATAACAGCTGTATCTGCAAGTGATTAAAAGATACTATTTAGTCTTTGTCTCTGTTCTTTTGAAGTAAACGCGTAACCCAAACTACACATGATTTGTAGCAATTTCATCTTGCTACAGCCTTCTTTTTAAATTATAGTTACTAATTCAAATGGTGTGATTGCCTGAATTGCTTGCTTAGTTGATGTACCCGTTCACTCTATTTAAAAAAGTGCAGACAAAAATAAAAACAACATAGGCTGTTTGAAAACAATGTTTGTTTCTAGTGTGTTTGGTAAGGATTCATAGTTTAGAGTTGGCGAGGGTGCGGGGGGTAAGGTGTCAGCAGCCAGCTTTCTTTCTCTTGAATAGGAGTGTTTCCCAGAAGGATTGAATATAACTTTATCTAAACCATCTTCTCTCATCCTTTCAAAATAAAAATGTATTGGAAGAATTTCAAAATAATCCCTAAAACACATTGACATTGAAAATGGGAATGTAAATAATTTAGTTGTCCCTTTTAGGGTTAAAATAAAAAATAAAGGAAGGAGAAAAATAAGGACATTTAGATCCCACTGAAAACCTTAGCCCAGCATTTCAAGTAATCACTCCAATTTCAGCGTTAAAATGCACTTTGTCTGATATTTATTCTGAGCAGCATGCGATTAGCTGTGGGAAAGTGTCATACCCAGAGGACTTTTAGCACTGTTTGATCAGAGCTTGACAAAAGGGGGGGCATAAAAGTACATTAAAAAGCATGACTTTCCCTGGCCTATATCCCTGCCTATTTCCTTCTCACCTTTCTATCCATCCTATTCTTCGGGATAATAATCATAATAAAAAAAGGAAACCCCAGCAAATCCCCAACAACTGCTCCCGGTGGCGGGAGAGAAAGAGAATATAGGGAGCCAAAGTGTTTTCTCTCAAGTGGATGTATTGGGATGCGGCAGAGAAATGCAGGGAGAGCCACTGGGAGTTTAGAGAAAGTAGAAAAAGACACAAAACAAGACCATCGAACGTCACAGAAAAGAGGAAATCTGATCAGAGCCGCATGCTCCTGGTGACTTTAGGAGGCAGCCTCCCACAACCGAAGCTGTGTGACCGCTTGGTCCACAACCCCACCTGAGGCTCCAGGGATTTGACCCTGCATAGGATGGGAAGAAAGAGAAGGGACAGGACGGGATTGGATCGAGAATTGTGAGAGGGGGGAATCCAATCCCGTGGGGGAGCGGATGGCATCCCGTTTAGACAAGTATCTGCAGCTGGTATATAGAGGCCTCCAGTGGTTGAACTTGTGTTGATCCCTTTAGCTGAGCTGTCTGCATCTCCTCACCCGTATCATCGCTCTCCCTTAGTAAGAAGTACCCATAAAACAACAGCACCTTACAAAGAGTTTCCAGCATGGCAGCTGGCACACTGAATAGTTAAAGGGGTTTTAATTGTGGCTGGGCTAATTCTCACCCCTCCGCCCCTGCAGGGAAGAAGCCACGGCGGGTGAAGACACAAAATATCAGACGCAGGATCAGGGCAGACAGACACGAGGTTTTGCTCATTAAAGGGGGCTTTGCTTCAATCTATTCATAGAGCAAACGTTTCCTGCCACTGGATCCCCGTGGGTTGGGTTGGTGTGTTATGTGAAGCGTCCCGCAGCTGGAAGAGAGAGGGGTGTGTGTGTGTGTGTGTGTGTGTGTGTGTGTGTGGGTAGGGGATACACAACGTAAACGG